AGGCCTCGGTGGCTTTTTCAGGCTCTTATTGAGTTTACCGGGTACATGGCAGGTGGGGGGCAGGAGGGTGGAGGTGGGGAGCAGGAGGATGGCAGGCCTCCCAGCCCCTGGCTTGTCTTCATTCTTTCTGGACTCTCAGGCATTCTCTCATGGTCTCATTCTCTCTCTTCTGCTTCTCTTTCTCTTTTCTCATCTGCTGGTTCTCTTCTGGTCTCTTGTTCTTCTCTGGTCTTTCCATTCTCTGACACTGCACTTATGGGTCCAGTCTCAGCCCAGGTGTACCCACCTACGCATGCCCATACCCCACTCCAGGTGCCTGCCATTAGGCCTGCATTCAGGACCACAGGGATCCATCATCAATCCTAATGGTGGGAGGGCAGAAAAGCCTGGTACTTTTTTAATTACCCTACATTGCCCTTGTCTGGGGAACCTTTCTTAACTCTCCTGAAGTCCCTGCACTGTCCCTAAAGCTGCCTAATTATCCATAACTTGCCCTAGGACTCAGAAGCACTTAATTCAAGAAATATTTTGTAGGCAAAATCAAAAGAATTTGGAATTAGGCAGAATACAGGGAATGAGGGAAAAGGAGGTATCCCTGCCAGTTTTCTGACTTGGACAAATTGATTTTTGGTTGTTTTATTAACTGAGACAAGCGATATCGAGGAGAATAGGTAGAGCAGAGGAAGATTATAAATTGGGTTTCAGATGTGTTGAGTTTGAGGTACTTTTGTGATATGCAGAGGAATTTGGATTTAGGAAGTTTTGGGGGATATATGAATCTAAATCTCAGAAGTTAATTTGGGTTGGAGATGTAATTTGTGAGCCTTCTGCAGAGAGATAATGGAAGCCATGAGTGTAGATGAAATTATCTAGGGAGGCCGTTTTGAATAAACATGAAATGGCATTTGATTGACGATGACAGGAAAATTTGTGCCAATGGAGATATTTATACTAAACTCCAGTTTTATTTATGGTGAAAGTTGTTATAAATAAGTGTTCAAAATAAATTTAAAAAACAGGAGTGGGGAAAAGGACCTAGTTTATTCATGAATTGCAATTTTCATTTTTAAATCTGGAAGTTGAAATTAAGGTGACCCAATGAGAGACTCTGGCTTTGGCCTCTTGTGGTTTGTTCGCTTGTTTTGTGACTCCAATGAGCTCCTTTGCTTAAGACCTCTGTGCTTCCAGTAGAAATGGTGCTAGTGTCTTGGGGAATGACTGCCAAGCAGATGAATATGCAAGCTCGAGTGGTATTTGAGAGAATATTATTGCTTGATTTGTGGAGGATTAATTCTGTGGTCTTGGGCACTTGATTTCTCCATATAGGTATTTGTTTCCATACCTGAGAAGGGCTTTGATCCTAGCATTGTTAGGTCGGGTTTCAGCAGGTCATTTATGTGTGCCCTGCAGCTAGCTAACCTGTGCAGCTACTCTGCCACCTATACCAGATGATAAGAGAACCATAGGTCTTAAACTGAAGTCGGTCTCTGCATTTCCCAGCTGTGCAAAATTGAGCCACTTAACCACTTTGTACCTCATTTAAATTAAAAATGGGTCATTACTAGACCCTACTTCATCACAGTGCAGTGTGAGGAATAAAAAGGCTCAATCCAAGCGCTGGGCTGCGAGGCTGCCCGCAGCCTCTGCAGCACCGGTTCGTTCCCAGGCCTCCGGCAAGGGTCCCACAAAAAAAAAAAAAAAAAAAAAAGGCTCAATCCATGTAAATCACTGAGAAAAATAAGTGTTTGGTGGTATTGCTATTATTTTTATTTAGTGCATGCTAAATTTGAAGTCTTAGTCACCACTTGTTTATATTCATCACAAAGTATCTATTTGAACTCCAGTGAGTGTGGAGTCTGACAATGCAGTTATTTCCCTTAGAAACACCCTGTAGTACATCTCATGAAATCCTTTTTTGCTGCAGATATTGAAGCGTCTCTCTCTTTACATCTTCCCTCCCCTCCCCAATCTTCCCAGAGTTGTAAAAATTCTCTTATTTATTGTTCAAAAGAAGTTTTATAGTGAAAAAGAAAAAAATAAAGGCCTAGTGCTTTCATAAACTATAGGGGCAGGATGGGCTCAGGGCAGGATCTCTGTGATCCAGCAGATGGGTGAAGGAGTCCTGGAGCCCTCAGTGGCTTTTGCAGGCTTTTATTGGAATTTACCAGGCACACACACGGCAGGCAGGCTGGAGTACCTGGGGGGGCTGGGAGGCTGGCTGGCTTCCCAGCCCCCAGCAAATCTTCACTCTTTCTGGGCTCTCTGGCCTTCTCTCGTGGCCTTTTCTTCTCTGCTCCTTTCAGCTCTACTTCTGCTCTTCTGTTCCGCTCTGCTCTCTCTTTCGCTCTCTCATGGTTCTTTCACTCTTTCATTCTGCTGTTCCTTTTGCTCTCTCTTTTGCTCTCTGCTGTTCTGCTGGCATCCCTGTGACGCTGCCCTTATAAAGCCAATGTAATGCAACCCACCCATACCGGGTAGGTTCTTCACCAGTTCTAGCAGCCATGTTGTCTTCATGCACTCCGCTGTTAGTTGTCACTGTACTCCGTTGCGCTCTGCCACTCTCCGCTGCACTCCTCAATCCTCAGCACCACACCACCACACTGCACTCTGCTGCGCCACCCTTATAAGGCCAGTCTCTCAGCCCACGTGTACCCACTTACGCATGCCCACACCCTACTCCAGGTGTCCACCATCAGGCATGCATTTAGGTCCGCAAGGATCTATCATTTATCCTAATGGTGGGAGGGCAGAAAAGCCTGATACTTTACTTACCCTATACCCAGTCTTAGCCAAGGTGTGTCCCATCTACATATGCCCACACCCTCCTCCAGGTGTCCACCATCAGGCATGCATTCAGGACCGAAGGGATCCATCATCAGTCCTAATGGCGGGAGAGCAGAAAAGCCTGATACTTTTTTACTTTACCCTACACTATTATATTCACTTTCAAAATCTGAAATTTGGGGGCCTCCCAGGAGACCTAGGGGTAAAGTCTCAGCTCTATCATTGCTCCAGCTTGAGTTCGATCCCTAGCCAGGGAGCTGCCCTGTTGGCACAGCAGACCTCTCCTTTCTCACCTGCTGCTACCCTCACAGTGTATTTCAGTAGATCTGCCTGTTCTGCTCCCTGCCCTGTCTCTGGTGAATCCTTTCACTCCTTGCACTTTTGCCCTACACCCCAGTTCTCTGAAAAAAAAAAAAAATCAAAATCTGAAATTTGGTAGATAAGTGGCTACATGATAGACTCTGGCTTGTGATCTCTTTCTTTGTGGCTTGTTAGGTTGCACAGTGACCTAGAAGCAGGTGGATGAACATGTTCAAACTCTTTCTCTAACTCACTGGGCTTTACCTCCTTTCTTATATGTTAGACCAATTGGTAAATGATGACTTTGTAGAGGGTAGTGTGTGTTTCTGTCAGTGTGGATACCATAAAGTAACAGGGACAAAGTTGTTTATGTAAATCCTAAAGTAATTATTACAGTGTCCTTGTTGTAGCTTTTATAATAAATAGAACCCTTGGAAGGAAAGCTTGTGACTGTCAGCCAAGATGCCAAATTTCAGAGACTGGGAAAGTTGACTTTTGTAACTATTATGCTTTTGTATTAGGTATCTGAAGTGCTTACCTTATGAAATTATTTTCTAAGAAAGAGTTCTTTGAATGAAATAGAGGTGTTTCTTTCCCTTAAGTGCTTTTCTCTTCTTCTTTCAAAAAGATTTCTAGGGCCTCCCTGGTAGGTCAAGGGTTCAAGAAGCATTGCTATGAATCTATCCTCAGTCACTGCAGCACAAGTTTGAACCTGGCCAGGGATCGAACACATAGCACACAGACCTCCCCTGTCTCACCAGCTGCTCCCCTCAGCAGTGTGTTTCAGTAGATCTGCCTATTATGCTCCCCACTCTGTCTTTGGTGAAGCCTCTCAACCCTTGCATCTCTGGTCTGCCCTTCAGCTCTTTTGTATGCATAAATAAATAAATCTTTAAGAAAGATATCTAATTGTGATTAAATATATATAATTAAACATATGTTTATTACATATATGTATTTATGTTATATATACATTATATATAATATAAACATTATAAGTTTTGAAGTTCCTCTTTTTATATGTCCTTTAAGTAGTTTTCTGTTCTGTCAAATGAAATAAACTGTGTCCTCCCATAAGGACATGATTCAATGTGAGACTTGGTCTGTTTCTTTTCACAGACTTTGTGAAACTTTCTGCAGGCAATTCATTACAGGCTGCTAAATATGGTTCTTGATTTCTTGACAAAGCTGTGCTTAGAAATCAGGTGCAGGTTGAATATTTACATTTTCATAGAGTATGTGGCCTTGCCAGTGAATAAGATTTGCTTTGCAAAAGATGTGCTCAACTCTCTGCTTTGACAGCATGCTTCTCCACTTCATCACAGTATTTTAATGGGAAATGTAAACTTTTCTGTCGTTAGCTGGGTTGCTTATCACATCAAGAAAAGTCTTCTTGAAATGGCAGCTTTGGAAATATCTAGTGGGTAAATTGCATGCAGGGTATACTGAGGTCTAAAAAGTTCCAATTCTAAGGGGATTAAAACAAGACATTTTTATTATTTTATATTAATTATAATATTATACTTAATATATTATAATTATATCAGATATGCCATTCTTTGTCTTCTGTCTATTCTGAATGGTCAATTAACATGAGGTCACCTATAATATATATCTAATTGTTATTCAAACTTCACTTACTTTAAAATTTTAAGGAGTAGAAGACTAACTTGACCAACCTCCCAACCTCTCTCTACTTAAGAGTCTTCCCTACAAAGAGGCAACATAAGTTGCTACCTCTGGATGGAATTTAGGTTCCTTGTTGGAACATCAGCTCTTTAGACCCAGGGTTGTGAAGAACAGAAGAGACTGGAGATACCACAGAGTTGAGTTTCAGCCAAAACTTGCTATTTCCTCAACTATTTTATTTTACTCACCTGCACAAGAACTAACCAATTTGTTTTTGTGCCTTCCAGGTATATTCACTTCAACCAATTAGAAACATTAGAGCAAGAGACCTTTGGAGACCTTCTGAAATTAGAGCGACTGTAAGTGTTGACTCTTTAGACATTCTTTGTTTTCTGCTTTACAAATTTTATTTATACAATCTATTAGTTGCACTGTAGGTTAGAGCATTTTGTTTTAAGCCTAAATTTGCACTATAAAATAGAGTTGCTCTAAGAATTTATATAGTTTGAAATTAGTGGAGATGAATAACCTAAATTAAAAATACGGTAAACAGATAAACAAGCACTTCACAAATAAAAATTTATGGCAGAAGCTATTACAAATGAACATATACATCCCCTGTGATCTGTCAATTTTACTTCTAGATATAGAAACAATATAAATAAACATATATGTGCCTCAGAAGATATTTATGACATTATTTCTAAGGGTTTCACACTACTAACTACCTAAGTATTCAACTAAAGAAAAGAGAAATAGTCATAAAATAGAATATCATACAACACAGATGAATCTCAGAAACATTTTGAACAAAATAAATAAATTGATATATCACAAAATTGAAAACCTTGGTTTTGTTTTTAAAAGAAATTCAAAAGCAGGTAGCAGGAATATAAGTTGGAAACCAGTCAGCAATTACCTTTGGAGAGGAGAGTATATTCAGAAGTGGCAGGAGGGAGCTTCTTCAATCCTACCAATGTTTGAGGGTTTTTGTTGTTGTTGTTGTTTGGAATCACACAGTTGCATTCACTTTTGGGAAAGTTATTGTGCCCTATATCATAATATGTGCACTTGTTTTGATGAATGTTACGTATCAGTAAATATTAAATAGCAATATCCAACTGCAAAAACACTTGAACAGCCTCCTTTCTTTTCATCTTAAGATTCTCTACTTCTTCATTTTCTCATATAGGCTATATTAATAAATCTATTGTGAATTTTGCTGAAGATAGGACTTTTTTTCTAAATAGGAAGGAAACAGAATTGCGTCATTAAATTTTTAAAAAATACTTTATTTTATATAATTCTTACATCATTTTTCATCTTTGCACAATGTATGCATTTTCATTATGGCTATATTCCCCATACAATTGCATCCCCCCGTTATTTTGACTCTAGTTCTTCCTCTCCCCGTCCCCCCTTCCATCCACCACCCCACCCTGCCCCTGCCACAGTGTGTCTCTGGTTTATAGTTGCTTGTTGATTTTGATTTTTACTTTGTATTGATTAGTCTTTCTCCTGGTCTCTTATTTAAGTTTTCTAAATTCCTGCTATGAGTGAGACCATCCGGTATTTTTCTTTTTCTTTCTCACTTATTTCGCTGAGCGTGATTCCTTCTAGCTCCATCCATGTTGCTACAAACTGCATGCGTTTATCATTTTTTGATCACTGAGTAATATTCCATGGTGTATATGTACATCTTCTTGATCCAGTCATCTATTTTTGGGCATTTGGGTTGTTTCCATAGCTTAGCTATTGTAAATAGTGCTGCTATAAACATAGACGTGCAGGTGCCCTTTGGAATTAATCATTTGTAATCAGGGAAATGCAAATCAAAACTACACTGAGATACCATCTTACACCAGTGAGAAGGCACATATTAAAAAAACTAGCAACAACAAATGTTGGTGAGGTTGTGGAGAAAAAGGAACTCTCCTGCACTGCTGGTTGGAGTGCAAACTGGTCCAACCACTGTGGAGAGCTGTGTGGAGATTTCTTGACCTACTAAACATAGAGCTTCTGTATGATCCAGCAATTCCACTCCTAGGTATTTACCCAGATGATACATAGTTAAATTTAATTAGGACTATCTTCCTAAAAAAAATTTGATTTAGCAGTTTCTAGCTTCTAAAATGATGTCCTTTAATGTTAATACACAAAATTGGCCAGGAAATTAAAAATAAAAAATGATTTATTCAATCACTTTCCAATGCCACCACTCCAATTCTATTTGCATATAAAAGTATAGGAATGATAATGCAAAAATTACGTTGTTTTGTTTTTTGTTGGAGGCACACAATAAAGTATGGGGAACTGGGTAGAAAGAAGTGTTATACTTGCTTTCCTGCTATAACATGTGTGGCAGTGGCAGATTCAGTGTTCTAATGACTAATTGCATAAAACCTGGGGTGCCGATTTTAATTTGGGGGAATATTTTGCTGTGTCAGCATTGTATCCCTGGTGTGTAATGAGACAGTCACTGAACTACAACTCAAAATCCCAGGTCATCTTTAGCAAACAGCATACTGACAACTACACAAATGGGGAGGCGAGATTCCTGCTACTTACAGGAGATTAGGAAACTCTCATAGACCCTTCAGCTGTGATGACAGGGGGTTCTTAGTTTTCATGAATGTACTTGAAGGTATAGAAAACTAACAGAAAGGTTTTAGCTTTTAGTTCCTTCCTATAATTATTATACACACGTTTATTTATGTTCAATATAATGTAGCAGTCCAGACATACAATATCAAAACATATAATAGAGCTTATGAGGGAAAGTTTTTGGCTCAGGCTCTCTTTCCAAAGATACTCTCTTTAGTCATTTTTTTATTTTTTATTATTTTACTTTTTTTAAAGAGTTATTTATTTGAACATACAAGAACAGAGGTTCAGGTCAGAGGTGTAGGGGGTGAGAGGATTCACCAGAGACAGAGTGGGGAACAGAACAGGTGGATTGACTGAAATATACTGCCTAGGGGAGCAGTAGGCGAGGCAGGAGATGTCTGCTGTGCCATGTGAGTATTTCCCTCCCCGGGGATTGAACTCGTGCTGCAGTGGCTGTGGATAGCTTCATAGGTTGTGTGTTAACTCCTTGTACCACCAAGGAATCCCTCTTTAGTCATTTTTTTAAAAAGCATATTCTTTTGTAGTTGCTATTTTGATTTCCTAGGTAACATCCTTAATAATTTTTGTTTCTTTCCTTTTCAACTCTAGATTATATCTATTAATTCCCACTGAAAAAATGAGGATTTACCTCACTAATACTCATGTATATTAGTTATATTATTTTTTTTCATTCATCGTTTGGCATATAATTGACTTTTAATTTTTATTCCATTCATTTTCACAGATTTTCTTTGCTCTCCATTTAAAATTTTGAGACTAGTATTCACTCCCATACATTTTCTGTCATTTTTGGTTCTTATTTATACATGAACTCTGTTAGATACATTATTTTTATATTATTCAATGTTGGAGAATTTTATCTTATCCAGCAACTACAACTAATTCTTGCTATTGACCATAAAATTACCCTTACAAATTCAAATACATATTTATATATGCATATGTGCAAAATTATATGTATAATTTTTAGCTTGATTATTACAGATTCAGAAGTTATGCTAAGATTTTATTTCATTCTCTAAGTATAAATATCAATAATAATTTTCTTACAAAAAGGAAAACTATTTTTCCTTTCTCATGAGGTTTAAATTACACAAAATACCATATGCATTTGCTTTATATTTATATTATTACTTCAGTAAACACCTTTTTCTGGACATCTTAACTGTGATGATTTTAACATGCATTATATTGTTTGAAATATCTTCACATTTCTCAACTGGAAAATTGTATACACCATATGCTCTTCTTCTACAGTGAGTGAGTGACCTGTGTCTTCTCACTTGAACTGGTTTTCTGAGATAGTGTGAGCATTCATCAACCTGGGATTTCCCATCACTAACTGTTTGGGTTTACCCCCGGGTTCCCCAAACTCATTCATCTTTTATCTTGAATTACTTCCTTATTATGTTGAAGTACATATTCAAGTAACTTATAAAACATTTTAGGGAGGTAATTTTAAACATTCTTGAATGCCTGGAAATCAGTGTATTCTTTCCTCATACTTAGATCATCTGCAATAGAATTATAAGTTTAAAGACAGTTCCATCTGATCTTTGAAGATGTTCCATTTTCTCCTAGTATATTAATGATTATATTTATTTTAGGAAATTAGTTTTATTTTGAAAGGGAGGTTTTAATTTTTCTCTATATTCTTTGTATATGATTGAAATAATAGTGTATTTATCATTCTCCTTCTGATTTTTATTGGATAACATAATTCCCACCAGGTCCAATCATGTTTTCACAAGATTTAATATTTTATTTTATTGCTGAAGAGTATTTAATTGTGTATCTATGCCACATCTTCTTTATACAATGAACTATGGTTGGGCACTTAGTTTTTTCCTGACTATATGTGACTATTGTAAATAGTACAGCAGTGAACATAGGGTTACATGTATCCTTTGTGTTAATGTTTTTGTGTTCTTTGGATAGATACCTATGAATGGAATTGCTGGAGTATATAGTAGTTCTATTTTTAATATTTTGAGAAACTTCTATACTACTTATCATGGGGCTTCACCAGTCCACATTCCCATCAACAGTGTATGAAGGTTCCTTTTTCTCCACCCCCTCACCATCACGTACTTTTTTGTGGTATTCTGATATGAGCCATTCTTAGGGGTGTGGGGTAGTATCTCATTGAACTTTTCATTTGCATTTAATTGATAATAAATAATGATGAACATTTTTCATATGTTTGTTAAACTTTCTGAATGCTTTTAGGGATGTGTTTATTTAGGTTTTCTACCCGTTTACCTGATTTTTTTTTCAAATTATATGAATTCTTTTTTTTTAAAGATTTATTTATTTATTTATTTATTTATTTATTTATTTATTTATTTATTTATTTATTTATACAAGCACTGGGTACAGTCAGAAGCGTGGGAGGGTGAGAGAATTCACCAGAGCCAGAGCAGGGAGTAGAGCAGGCAGAAGGACTGAAGTACACTGCTGAGGGGAGCAGCGGGCGGCAGGAGAGGTCTGAGCGCCATGTGGGACCCTTGCCCGGCACCCGTGGATAGAACTGGTGCTGCAGAGGCTGCGAGCAGCTTCGCAACCCAGTGCTCAATCCCTGCACCACTGGGGAGGCCCCATATACACTTATTCTTGCCTTAAAGGTTTCCATTCAAACATGATAGGACTGCATTGAATCTATATAATCTGTGGGTAAAATGAGCAAGCATGTATTTCCATAGCTTTGCGTCTTCTCCTATTTAATTTTTATTGTTTTCATTTTATAGATTTTTCTTAGATATTAAATTCTTTTTGATGTGATTGTGAAAGAAATTATTTTGGAAATTATTCTTTAATGATTCTTTCTTAAAAATTTAAAATAGTAAACCAAGAAGAAAAAACCTTGGTATACTCAGATGTCCTAAGAATACATTTGATTTTGTTGGTTTGGGGAGGATACATACTCCAAGCAACATTATCCTGGGCACTTCATTTAACAGCTTGTATAAGCATGTAGTCAACCAACTGGAAAAATGTTGTGTTTTTTTTTTTAAGATTTATTTATTTATACATACAAGAACTGGGTTACAGGCCAGAGTTGTGGGGGTGAGAGGATTCCCCAGAGACAAAGTGGGGAACAGAACAGGCAGTCAACTGACATACACTGCTGAGGGGAACAGCGGGCGAGTTAGGAGAGATCTGCTGCACCATGTGGGTAGCTCCCTGGCTGGGGATTGAACTCTTGCTGCAATGGCTGTGGTGAGCTTCATAGGTTGTTTCTTAACCCCTTGCACCACCAGGGAGGCCCAGAAAATGTTGTTTTTTTAATGAGACGCTCAACTCAATGAAGATTTTTCATAAATTTTTCTCAATGAGTAGAAACTGAATGTGAAGTTTTCTGTACTTCTCTGAAATCTCTTAGATTTATAGGACATATATCTTAACACACTACTTTATTTATTTTTAAAGATGTATTTTATTTATTTATGCATCCAAGACCTGGGGTGTAGGCTGTCTGTGGGAGAGCCAGTGAGAGGGGTTGAGAAGATTCACCAGAGACAGAGTGGGCAGGTGGAATGACTGAAATACAGTGTTGAAGGGAACAGTGGGCAGACAGGTGAGGTTTGCTGCACGATATGGATTAGCTCCCTGGCCAGGTAAATTTTCCAATAAATAAGGAAGTGATTTTTAGGTCGTTATTGGGAACAAAGCAATCAAAGTGGTGCTTCTACAAGTAGAAATCAACAAACACATTATAGAACTATTTTGAAGATTAACTTCAGGGAAGTAGGAAAGGACAAAGAGTAAAAAGAAGTACAGGAGTGCAGTTTTGCACCCTTGCTGAATAGTAATGCTGAAACAGTACTGCTGTTTTAGTGCTGACACTGAGAATGTACAATAGGAGATTAATAATAATAATAAAGCTTAGCAAAAATAAATCATGCCTAAATTGTCCAAATTTAGTAGTTTTTCTAATGGTAGCTAAAATATACTATAAGTTATTTATCTTCACCTAATATGCTCTGAAATATAATTCGTTAAGGCTGGCAGTGGGGAATGTACTGTGTGACACCCATTTGCACACTCACCTTAACCTAAGAGTTTACATCTTCATAACAAGTCATTACTTTTGAGATTTGTGGATTGAATGGGGCCAGGAAGATGAATATAAATAATCAAGCAGGAAGGAGCAGAGGAAAACTTTATTCAGATGTGTATCAAGTTTCCAAAACCATAAAAATAGTTTGGTGTCTGCTTACTCCCGTTAGGGTTAACCTTAATAGATAAAAGAGTTAAAGCTAAAAACATAACATTGATAAGAAAACATCATCAAATGGTTTTATTTCATTTGAGGACAGGAATACTAGTCATGAAGTAGACATGAGAGACTGAGGGAGCTAATTATTAATATTTTCCAGACATGATTTATTACTTATGCTTATTTCTTTTATTCTCAAGAAATAAATGGCATTGAACTTTCTTCCGTGTTGCAGGGACTTTCTTTTGTGTTGTACTGTTTTGTGCTCTGTTTATACATGTACTCTTTTTTGAATATGCGTTTAGTGGTACTATTGACCAGAGAGTCCAAAGCTGGTGATTCCTCTCATCATAATTTCTCTATCACAGATATTTTGGGCTGGGGCAGCCTTGAGGGAACCCAAATGAGTGCAGGCTGCCTATGTGGAAGTGGGGAGAGAAATACTGTATCTGGGTCTCTGTCTCCTGCTTCCCTCCATCACAGAAACAAACCTGGCAGAAACAAACCTGAAAGATGAAGTCATGGGAATTGGAACCTGGGAAATAGACATTTATGTAATCCCTGGGGGTTTGAGGGGGAACAGGTAAATGACTGGCTGAAACAGTGACTGACCTCACAAGCACTGAAGGGGATTACAGTTTAGCAAAGTTGTCACTGAACTGTAAACTGAATTATGGACATGTTTACCCCCTTCAGGATCCCATTAACCCTGTTTATTTGCAAGCTTCCGCAGTCATATATTTTTATTTTGCGATTCTTTTTGGCTATTTGCCCCAATTTCCTATATGTTTGAAGACATTTTTTATGAACCCCACTTTAGCATTGATAGTCTCTAAATCAAACAAAAAATCGGGGGCCTCCCCAGTGGTGCAGTGGTTGAGCCCTGGGCTGCAAAGCTGCCCGCAGCCTCTGCAGTGCTGGTTCCATCCCCGGCTGCCAGCGAGGGTCCCACATGGCGTGCAGACCTCTCCTGCCACCCACTGCTAACCTCAGCAATGTCCCTCGTCAGTCTGGCTGTTCTGTTCCCTTCTCTGTCTCTGGAGAATCCTCTCACCCTCCGGCGCTTCTGACTATACCCAGTGCTTGTATAAATAAATATTAAAAAAAAAAACCAAAAAATTCAAAAGACCATAAATGAGAAAACACTAATGTGATAGTAGATACATACATGCAAATCTTTATACACATGTAATCCAAGTGCTTGAATAAAAGACACTGTTTTGTTTTGCCCTTTCTCATTGAAATACTTTAAAAAATATATTTGGACTTATAATTAGATTTTAAAATATTGTCCCCTAAACATATTGTTACTATGTTGTGATTAAAAGATATCTTTTATTTTTCAGATTTTTACATAACAACAAATTATCTAAAATACCACCTGGGAGTTTTTCTCACCTGGACTCATTAAAAAGACTGTAAGTAAAAGCAAATGAATAAGCACAAAAGCCTTATGATTTTCTTCAAAAAAAAAAAATAAATCCCAAAAAAGATCTGCTGTCATCTCCTTTTGCCATGAAAGATCACTGCAATTCTAGCGCATTAGGGAGAAAATGGTTTTGTTAATTGCAGAGTGATAGAGGATGCAGATAAGCTACTGAGCTATGTATCATCTGTTCTCTTTAAAATCACATTCAAAAAACATACTGAAGATAGAAGTTTTCCTTGGTTTTCAGTAATTACCTTATTGGTCAAATCTAAAGACTTTCAAGACTTTTCTTACCCTTTAATTTTTTATTAAAAAGGGTATGTGTCAACCTCCAAAGAAAGTTTAACTCTTCTGGCCAGGTTTCAGAAATTCTCCCTTTCAGCATGTATAATTTGCCCTGTAGTTTATTTCCTCTTTTGTTAAATGAAGCAAAACTAAATCTCAACCCCAGTTCTCTCCTCTCTGTTTGCTCCTCTTTCCTTTCTGTGTGACTCACTGTTCTTTACTCTGATCTGCCTCTTCATCTAGCTGCTTTGTTAGTGCTTTCCATTTCTGTTTTATTTTTTTGCTCAGTGGACACAAATATAAATTGCAGTTACAGAGTAAACATCAAGTCATTGTTTGATGACATTTTCTGCCAAAGTTTTCTTACTGATTTCAACACAACCATTTGGAGTCATATATATATATTCATTTTTTAAAAATATAGATTTTATTTTTTAAAGCAGTTTTGTAGTCACAGCAAAATTAAGCCAAGAGTTAATAGTGATCCCATTACACCCTCTGCCTCCATACATGCACTATCTCCCGCAATATCAACATACCTCACTAAAGTGGCATTGTACAGTTGATGGATCTACAATGGGCACAACTTTTTCACCATATTGTCCATAGTTTATTTTAGGGTTCTTATTGGTGTACAATCATTTTTATAATGGCATGCCTCTGTCATTATAGCTTCAAACAAAGTATTTTCATTGCCCTACATATTCTCCGTGCTCCATCTATTCATCCTTTTTTCTCCTCTACCCAACTCTTGGTAACCACTAAGCTTTTTCTGTCTCAAAGTTTTGCATTTTCCAGAGTCAGATAGTTAGAACCATATAGCATGTAGTCTTTTCAGATTAGTTTCTTTCACATAAGTTTCCTCTATGTCTTGTCTTGATTTTAGAGCTCATTTCTTTTTTAGTGTTCATTATTGCCTTAACAGTCTTATTTATAAATCATATCTTATTGTTAATCAAATAAAAATTTGAAGAACATTGTTTGAAAGGGTCACAAATGCTTTATTTTGGTAGTTGGAGGAATATTTTATTTTTTAGCCTGCTTTCTTTCTCTTATGTTAGATTTGCTATATCACTTAAAGTTAGAGTCATTGTCTTTGTGTATTTGCAATTGTAATTCTCATTATTTCTTGTCTACCTAGTTTTCTATCTGAATTTCATTTTTAGTTTATCAGTCTCTCAGAAATCCTTGAAATGTGAAATCAGTTTTTAAAATCCATTTATGTTATTTTTTTTCTTGTTAAATTTTAGTTGCAGCCTTTTACATTAAGTGAAGCAGTGCCTACACCACTTCTGGAACACACAAACACACGCACACACACATGCACAAATAAACAATAGTAAAGACTAGAGAAGACTGAGGGAGATTAAAGTGATGTACCACTTTGCATCTTATATGCATGTACTGTATTTATTATAAATGGCTTAAGCCATTTTTGTGTATAAAGTTATTAATATCTAAGTTTGATGAATGATCTAGTTTATGAATGATAAACTTAGATAACTACGATTTTAGCAAACTGCTCCAGGGTCCATGAGCTCCAGATCTGTCTGAGATGGAAGGCATCGGTACCTAGTTATTCCAAATTCTCAAACTTGTATATACCCAAGTTATCATTAAATGAGGAAATACCAGAATACCAGAAGGCAAGTAAGCTATACCTACAATCAAATTAATTCCCTCCTCAACAAAGAAGTCTTAACAACTGGATGTGTGTCAATTTACTGCGAGTACCTGAAAGTGACTGAAACCTATGTGAATCATGTTTGCTATATCATCTCATGGTCTGTATGTGACACCTGAATTGTTTTCTCCATCTGCATCATATTTCTATCTCACAATGAACACATTCCTCACAGGTGTACTAGGAAAATGAATGAAATGTCTTTTAAAGACTGATTTTGGATCGTTAAGTGAAAGGGATCATGCAAGTACAAGTGATGCATTAATTCATTTTCAAAGAGAGAAAATTAACTTACCTGGTTCTGTTTTTTTTTTCCCCTTTGAAATTACCCTTTGAGCAGTGAATAAGAGCATACCTGTGTGTGTGATATTTCATGAAAAAAGCACTTTCAAAATGGATAACTGTAAAATGATAATGATTTTAGGCAAAATATACTAACATTTAGTAAGGAGTAATAAAGAGAAAAAAATACACTTTTCTTATTTCTATTACTTTCTATTTTTTGACATTCATTTTAACATTCATATATTATAGGTAATGTTCCCCAAATGCTTTCCTGGTGTAAATCTGCAGATACTATAATAACAAAGGGTCTCCAAATAGATTTGATCCTTATACTGCATTTTCCTCCTGATATGAAGGAATATTTCAATGACAAGTAAAAAAAAAAGTAGTTGCTTTATTCATATTTTGCATTCTTGCCATGAATAAGTGCCTTAATTGTAGTTGACAGTAAAAATTATTTTGTATGGTATCTTTTTTGGTGTTTTTACTTTATGTTCAATTGCTACTAAAACATACAAGCATGAGAATACACAAAGTACTGGATCAGCAATTAGTAGTGGACATATAAGTAAGTTAGGAGTATATCAATAAATGGAACATTCTGGACTGTGAGAGTCCTTTATCTGTGATCGAGGGCCCTGTATCTGTGATCTTCCCAAAGGATTTGTGTTGGTGTCTTTCCTCATGTGCAACTCAGAGAAACCTTGTGGTGATACTGAAGTGAGAATTTATTCCTTAATATTTAGCAACTACAAACTGTTGCAGATATTAAACTCAAATGTAAATCAAATGAATTAAATTTGGATTCACTTATGTTGAAATTACTGTTTTTTAATCAAGTAGTTGATATAATAAGTCAATTAGTGTCAATGAAGAGCCAAAAAAACTGAAACCACCAACATTCTAAATGAATGTTAGTTAACTTTTGCATTGGATAGGTCACTCCACACAAGGTTGAAAGTGTTCTCTTTTGACTCTGACTTGATTGTCTCAGTTTAGTGTAAGTCCTGATTGAAGTGTTAAGAAAATAAAATATACACCATTATGTAGCTTTTTTTTTTTTTTTCTATAAGTGTGGGCTATTACCACACTTTGTTTGCACTTTATTTTTTTTTTTTGACTTTTTTTTTTTAATATTAAATTTTATTTTTATATTCCCCCATACAATTGCAAACGCCCCATTCTGACCCCAATCCTTCCCCTCCCGCCCCCCACCCCCCAAAAAGTGTCTCTGGTTCATAGTTTTTTGTTGATTTTGATTTTCACTTTCTTATATTCATTTTCCTGGTCCCTTATTTAAGTTTTCTAGATTCCTGCTATGAGTGAGACCATCCGGTATTTTTCTTTTTCTTTTTGGCTTATTTCGCTGAGCATGATCCCTTCCAGTGCCATCCATGTTGCTGCAAATTGCATGTGTTTATCTTTTTTGAATGCTGAGTAATATTCCATGGTATATATGTACCACATCTTCTTGATCCAGTCATCTACTAAATATAGCTATTGTTTTCAGTGTAACACAATTTAAAAGCAATATTAAAACAGTGCAGAGGCTTGGGGGTAGGTCATAGTTTGTGAGGTTCTCACCTGTGTACTCATGATTGCAACACATTACCCAGGCACAGGGTGCAGCGATAGGGTTTTATTAACAAAGGGAAATTGGGAAATGGAGTTTCTGAGACCACTAATGGCTGGCTGTCCTACTGTAGATAGTGCCCACAGTGTCCACTAGTCCAAAACAAAGGCTAATCATACTACATAGTCCTGTCTATTCCATGAAAACCTGTAGTTGGTGGCATGCCATTAAGTGGTGACACGCCATTAAGGATCAGAAATGGTGGAGTTGTCTCAAAGGTGGCTGGGCACAGGTCACATTGCCAGTCAGCACTGGTCAGCAGATGATGGTGCTAAAGAACAGGCACCAGTGTTACAGAGCTAAGACATCTGTTATGTCAACAGCAAACAGCTCTCAGAAATGCTCGGAGTAACCCAACAGCATACAGTTCTTTTAAAAACTCCAGGATTAGACCAAATGTGTTCTCTGCAGCTGATGTTAGAGGCAGGGCAGGAGGCAGGAATAGTGGTCAGGCTGCAGTTTGAAGTGGATATCAGATATAAAGGACTGAGGAGGTCTCACAAATCTCAGAAGGTCTCTGAGAATGTCTCTGTGAGGGTCTCTGCAAAGATTTATGAAGGTCTTGAAGTTTTCAGAGGTCTCTGCCCCAATCAATCTGACTGAAGCTATCTGATGAATGCCTCAAGTTGGTTATTCTAGCTTATACCTTCAGGGTCACCACCTTTCAAGCCCGATTAGTCCATTCACAATTTTAGATGTTTTATTGGTTCCAGTTGAGCTACAATAAGATCGGTATGTTTGCAATTCAGAAAGGCTTCAAAATACTTGAATGGCACTAGTGAGAGCTTGACTGATTGATCCATTGGGAACTTGGACCTGATCGATCTGTTTACAGTTCCAGCATGGTATTCATAAGTGAAACCCAGGCCTATATATTATAGACCTGCCCTGCACTCAGGACAGGTGGTCATGGTGGTGGTTGTCTTTTCAGGAGAGCCACAGTCAGAGCCGGCTTCAGCAGGGCCAGACACTCATGTGAGCAACCTCCAGCTAGGAGCCATGGGGTTCAGAGACTGCTTATGCTGTCTAAGTCCTCCAGGCTGGCCTAGGGGCGGCTGCAATGTTGCCCAGGTGGATACTGCTGGATCTTGGGGTTTATCTACAACGTGTACACAGTAGGCTGTCCTGAAACCCTGAGGTGGACCTCAGAAAAGTCATTCAGGCCCCAAAGCATCTGGGAGCCTTAGTGGCTCCTGTTTAACAATCTTATGAACTGAGTATCTACAATATACTTCACAAAACCATCACACAACAAATCTTTATTAAATTTATTTTTCAATATATAGTTTCTGGAAGTATTCTAAATTCCAAATTTAGGGAAGGGTATTTTTTTTTTCCTTTCTAAAGAAAGTCCCTACCCCAGTAAGTTGATTTTGACAAGAGCTCTTAAAACAACTACATGATTTGTAACTTTATCTGTAAATTGGTCCTTTGAATTCCATTATTTTCTCAGGTGTTTCTAAGGGCATCTATACATGCTATCAGGAATTATAGCATTTTTATTGTATTTAAATGACCTAACACGTTACTTCTTACAATATTTAAACATCTCCCACTTCCCTATCAGGAATATGATTTATTCATATTATCTTTTAATCTTGGCAATTTTCTTTTTAGAATGTAACCTGATCACCACTGTAGACAGATTGACAAGTCCATTTAGTTAATTCTACCTTTTTATCCTTTGGGATGAATAAAAGTGGTAATTTATCATCTGTGTCCTTTTACTATACATCTTTTAGCAAGAATGGAGGTATACAACATAAATCTCTTTGACTTTCTATTAATTTTGTCTCATGAGAAAAATCTTCTAGAAAGGATCAGAAAAATTTAATAGAACTTAGCAAAAGTGAATAGTTTGTGTGCCTAGATTAGGAAGTAGCAAAAAGAAATGTAAAATTCCTTCCCATTACAATCTGCAGAAAATTCAAGATATAAATCTTTGTAAAATTGTATTGTTTCTAATAATACCTTTGTAAAATTGTCACTTGGTATAAAAAGTAAAAATCAAAACCTCCTATCTCTATCCTTTAGGGAAAATTAAACAAAAGGAAACTATTCGCATTGATGTAAAGGAGGTTTGCAGAAGAAGTGAATTATTTGGGATGATTGAGTGAATTGTATACAACATATTTTTAGCTTTTCATCCACAATGAAGTATTTATCCTTTCAGTTATTTCTATGAAAAAGTAAAAACAACTACACTATATATATAAATTCTCTGTTCTTTAACATTTTAAAAATTGTAACATTTCATTATATATAGTTTTAATTCTTAATTTTCCTTTTTTAAAAGATTTTATTTGTTTATACAAGAGCTGGGGTACAGGCCAGAGGTGCGGGAGGGTGAGAGGATTCACCAGAGACAGAGCAGGGAGCAGAACAGGCAGATGGTCTGAAAACATTGCTGAGGGGAGGAGTGGGCAATACAGGAGAGGTCTGCCACGCCATGTGGTTATCTCCCTGCCGGCCAGGAATCAAACCTGTATTGCAGGGGCTGCAGATAGCTTTGCAGTGCTGCTTTCAACCTGCTGCACCATTGGGGAGGTCCTAATTCTTAATTTTATCTAAAAAATGAGCATTTATTTTGTCTTACCGTTGTTTACTTATAACCAAATAATATAGAGCATGTTAAGTAATAACTACTATTTTGTGTCTCAAAGTGCTTTCCAAGAATATTGTTAATATGGAGATGCATTTATTCTGTAAAATATGAGACTAGACAAGCATTTACTTTGGTGTTTGCTAGTAAATTAGAATACTGCACTCAAAAATGTAACAGAGGAAGTATATTAGAGGAAATCAGATATTTTAACTCAAGAAATTTAAAATAGAAGTTAATGTTCACTTTTAATAGTTGTAATTCTTGGTTGCATGCCTAGGCGTCTGGATTCCAATGCTCTTGTTTGTGACTGTGACCTAATATGGCTGTGGGAACTTATGCAAAGTTATGCCCGAAATGACCAAACTCAGGCTGCTGCTACATGTGAACATCCCAGAAGTCTCCATGGACGTGCCATCACTTCAGTGTCTGTAGAGGAATTTGATTGTGGTAAGTTACTTTCTCTATGTATACACAGCAAATTGTCTTTTGTTTGCCATCTTCCTATATAGGTTATTATGTCATTCTGCATTTGAGAGGATATGTAGTCAGAAAATGGTCATGATGGATTTGGGGGGAAATATGGCAAATTTCATTTTCAGCATCTGCATTTTTATTTAAGGAAGTGTTTATCATCATAAACTGTTGGAGTTTAGAGAGTCCTTGGAGATAATTTATTCTAACTTCCAGAATTTTAATTATTTAATTATCTTTTATTTATTTATTTAATTTATCTCTTCAGGAATCAGAAGTCTGACCAGCATTAAAGTCATCATATATACCTTAATATCACTTAGTACTAATAATCAATAATTTTATTTTTTAACTTTAGATAAACTAGTTGATTATATTCAATGTTAGGAAAAACACTCAAGTCAGATAAAATAGAGCTTATACAATGAGCTTATACAATCCATCCTTATATAATGACAACCTAGTTTAATACATCTCTTTGCTCTTTCAAATATTGCAGAATCTGGATTAATTAATTAATGTAGATTAATTAATCTACATTAATATTTTGATGACTTTAATAAATCTATGAAACTTTACTTAAAAATTGAGCATGGCTTCATATTATATTGTTTGGTTTTCACTTAATGTTTAAAATATAAATGAAATAATATTTATTTGATTACTTATTTATTTATCTAATCACCTTATTCCTATATATATATTTAAGTATGAATAAGTGATTCTAAACACATATAAACATGTGTTCACATGCGTGTATATGTGAGATATTTGTATTTCTTAGAAATTTGTTCAGATGATGACTTGTGATAGAACTTTGTTTTTAATGCCACATTCACTGATAAGCCAGTTTTAAATTTATCTAAGGAGGTAATTTGAGAAATTACATTAAAATAATTTAATTACATCCACATTGAAAAATAAAAAGATTTTGATTTTCATTTCCAATTTAGATTCAAATTTTCCCTGCTATCCATCTTTGCTACTGAATTCTAATATATGCCACAACTGAGTTTTGCCTAGAATGTATTACATCTTAAATGATGTTCCAGTTTTCATTTTTCTCACTCTTTAATCTTTATATATGGGTATATCATTAAAAACTCATATCTGATAATGTCATTCTTCAGTTCTAATTTTTCTGTAGATTTCCACCTTAAATTAAAGCATAAAATCCTTGACAAGGTCAGAACTTCCTATTGTTAACCCTGGCTACTCTCCGTCATTTATTAATACTTTACTTCTGTTTACTCAGTTTAGCTAGCATGCTGTTCTTTCAGTCCCCAGAAGTTCTTAGCATTTTTTCTGACTCAAGGAATTGTCTACATGCTGTTTCTACCTACACTATTTTCTTACATCTCTTTTTTTCCCTAATAACTTTCTTCTTAAATACTAATTACTTGAAAAGGCTTAACTTTTCTCCCTACCTACCCACCTTCTCTCTACCATACACACTGAATTCGTGTTGATATAATCACTGAATAGGCTATTTATTTTTATATATTTTATTAATATATTTATATTGTATTATCTATTATTACCATTATATTTTTATTATAACTTATTGCACATTTTCATTCATTTCTTTGGTTTAATTTAGTTGTTACAATAATCTATAATATCATTAGTACAGATTTTTTTTGTTTTGATCACTGCCTCATCACTAGTCTTTGCATTGTGTTTGACACACTGTAGATATATTTCATTATTTTTATAGAAAAAGTATAAATGAATATGTTTTTTAATCATAAAAATGAATAAAATCATTTCTTCCAAACTGCGTAAAGCCATGATGTTGATTATATGAACATTTTACAAAATGGGTAAGACTATTAACTATTTCTATAATTTGACATATTGGGAAGGAGAATATGATATACTAGGTATAATTATTAATTTGTGATTGCAAATCTCAAATAACAGCTATAAAAGGAAGATTTTTGTCATATAGCACGGCATAAAGAAACATGGAAATTTGCTTTTGAAAAGTAAAATTACTTTTTGTATATTTTTCCCTTTAAATTCAAGAATATTACCTGTCTCTTTAAAAATTTAATCACTTCATTTCCTTATTAAAATTATTTAAATGTTTCCATATTTTAACTAGTCAGTTGCCATTTCAGAATGAAATCATTCATTTACGTTGCTAAGAAATTTTGCTGTACTAGGTTTGAGGTCCAGGCATATAAATTCTTATATATAGTACAAAGTGGGTAGTTAGATGACTAATTGTTTAGTGCCTGAAAAATTACAAGTTCAGTTTAACTATTTGGTTTGAAATGTTAACCCATTAAATCAAACTCCTTTAATGAATATTATTGTATGGAACTATGAGAAATAAAAGTGCATGGAAATTTACTTGATTTACTGTTTTGGTAATACTGTTATTCAATGAAACTTTCAAACATCTAAAGTTTAAGTGAAATTTAGATCTACTGTCTAACTGGCTCCTGTATTACTGAATAAAGTTAGTTTAATATGTAAAATTTTAATGTATAAGGAAATTTTAATTATCTATTGTTGTTTCTCAATAATATATAAAATTTATACTTTGTATTTTTTTATGTATACTAATCATTTATTTGTTATAGAGAGTCCTCGAATTACTTTTGAGCCACGAAATGTGGAGGTTACATCAGGAAATACTGTCTACTTCACTTGCCGGGCTGAAGGAAACCCCAAACCTAAGATTATTTGGCTACATAACAAGTAAATACTGGGCATGAGCATATGTAATTATCATCTCAATTTCAGTAATCCATTTTTCTTCAACTAATTTATCTACAGATTAAATATATGAAATTATCAGAATTTCTTAGGCAACAATTCTCTTATATTTTTTGACTTTCCCAAAATATCTCAAAGACTTTTCTTTAAAAAATTGTATATTTTTGTACAAACAAGCTAGTGTGTTTTAAAATCTAAATATAATGTGCTATAACTCCATCTCATCTTAAATATTTTGATTCAAACTGATATTTCATATTCAGTGTTGCAACTTTCAGTAGGGGAACCAAATGAGGGATCAGGAAAAAATAATAAATAATTTAAAAAACAAAATTAACAGGAAACTATATATATCAGAGATATTCTGCAGAGGAAGGGCATGGAGAGGAATCAAAGCAGGGAAGGGAAGAGCACAAAGGATTATGGTGATGGTGCATGGGTGAACTGGTGGTGGGAATTTTACAGGGACTACACCTGAGAGGAAAAAGCAAACATTGTACAAAAAGAAAGATAGATATAAAATATATACAAAATGGAAAAAGATTATGTAAGTAAATTGATAATAAAATATATGCAAATTATTTAAAATACTATTCATTTATTATTATTATTTTATTGTCACCATACTATTTGAAAAACATAGAAGCTGTAATTCTAAAAATCCATAAATGTAAAATCAAATAATAATAACAAACTTTTAAAAAGTTAAAATAAAAATCCTAAAAATGGAGTGAAATGGTAACAAAATGAATGCATATATACCTGATAAAATTCTTGTAAATTATTATTATTATTATTATTATTATTATTACATCACTGGTAGCTCACATGATTTGATTTTCTTTTTGCATTCTTGCACACAATCTCCTTGATTTTCTTCTCTCACCTGTATAATCTGAGTTTTTATGTGCTTTCATAAAATATTCTGAGATTTTATAAAAAGCTTGTTTTTTGCATTTAATTTGGATAGCTAATTGTAATCAGAAACTCAAACATGCTTATAAAATATGCCTTAAAGTCTTGCAAGAAAGTATAACTTAGAAATAGTTTAGAATGAAGTCAATTATGAATACTATTATATCTGGAATCTAGCCCCAGAGAAAGACTTCAGTTGATAGAATACTTTAATTTATTTCCATCTGGAGATGGTTCAAGGATAGTTGAGAAACAGAAATTGATGCTTGTACTGTCTTAAAACTGCTTATTCTTCCATCTAACACTATAAATCTAGTCATTATGTGTTCAAGGTTACCAAAGTACTGACTGGTATTTAGAAAAGGACAAATGAAAATCAAATTGCCCAATGGGATATTAACAGTGGCCAAAATGTTAAGATGCATTTAAAAGGAGACAGAAACTGAAAAAGAAGGAATAAAATGAAGAAAAGATGAAATAGGTAAAATATTTGTTAAAGCAGTAGCCATTTTACATTAAACATCACAGATGGAAGCATGTTTTATAACAACACATCTTAATTATTGATTGTTGTTCAGTATTTTTAATACAAAGATAATATATATATTCTGAAAGTGTATGAAATATAAACTATAGTATAGAAAGTAATTTGAAACAAACATCTGTTTTAAACCAGGGTAAGAATAAATGCTGTCAATTCATCAAAAGCTAATAAGGAGTCCTTTTCTTAAGAGTAAAACAGACTTTTGAGTGACTTAGGAATATGGAGTCTATTATGCAAAATTCCAAATATATCCTGTGAGAATTCCAGGAAGGATGTTAGAAACAAAGCATTAGAGGCACTGTTTGGAGGAACAACTATGAATTTTTCAGAAATAATAAAAATGAGATTTCAGATCAAGTATTGTACTCATTCCCATTCTTTAAAAAGAAATCTATACCTGAAGATTATGATCAAAAATTTAAAGTCAGAGACAAAATTTTTCATTCCAAGATAATTTTTACATTTGATTACCTTCAAATTTATAGCAGTTACACTGACAATTCACTTTACATCAGCCATAGGCAATAAAATATATTTAGGGTGTTAAGGGAAATATGCTAATTTTCTTCAGTTTTATATTCAACTAAATTATGTGATAAGTAAAAGAACCACATTTTTAAACAAAGAAATTGAGCCTGTTGAGGGAGATTTTTAAAAGTACTCCCAAGAGAATGCAAACCAAGATGATAATAGGGGTTATTCATTGCTTCACATGCAAGAGAAACATCTAACAACTATCCAGTGGAACTCTGAGAGAGTGCTAAGACTTGGGCCTCTACTGAAATACACTTTGCACCTCAGAGATCAACATACACTAACCAAATGGGATAAGGAGAAGACTCATACTTCATTGGGGAAGCAGATGGAGAGAGAAACTGTGGTCTGGGACAGGGATGACAGATAGCAGCTGTGCTGGCTCAGTCAGTGGCCCTGGGGAAGACAGAGTAGAAATAGTGCAGAGACACACACCCTTCAAGCAGGTAAAGTACATGAGAATAAGTTGAGATTCTCCATAACAAGCCAGAGCTCTGGTAAGCAGAAAAGGTCTTCTGGGATACACTACTCCTTTCCCATACTTCAGCTCTGGTACTGAACTTATGAATTGTACTGACAGTGGACAGACTACTGACTCATATCTCAGACCACAAAGAGGAAGGATATTGGCAGTGCCACACCCATGAACCAGACCCCTACCCTGAGCATGTTTATAAGAGGGAGAAGGCACCTCAAGACCCCTCTTACACCCTACTGTCAAAAAAATAATGAAAATATCTCAGTACCTTTTGGCCTCTCAGCAGAGGCCAAAGAGAAAAAAAAATAATAAAGCAAAGAGAATTCAAAAATATCTATACTTAAGAAACTCAAAAAGAAGAAACTTCAGACAGACAAGTCAGAAAGACACAACAAAACTCAGAAAACCAATTGAATGAGTTCAGAAGTAAAATTAGTGAACATAAAGTACAAATTGAAACTTTAAGAAAATAACAGATTTAGATGTCACTAATGTGGCAACAGTGAAGATCTCTAACCTCACTACTGAAAAGGTCATCTAAGAGTTAACCAGAACAATGCTACATCTGGGAAGTCCCTCTGGCTTAGGAGCAAAATGGGGAAACCCCTTGAGCATCACAGACCAAGACAGATTGTAAAGATGAAACAGAGGAGAGTCATATAGCAGGAGTTGTGTGGATAGAAATGTCTCAAGGCTATGGTTTAAGGACAGGGGATACAGAAGGCAAGGCTGCTGGCTGAGCCAGAGAACTGAAGAAGGGAAAGCAAAATTGTATGGAAGAAAATACTCCTGAGGGAGGAGAAACACATGCAGAGGAGTTGGAGTGATACACAGTTTGATTCCCCAGTAAGGAAAAGAGATGGTACTCTGAACTACACTTGGCATTATCCCACCATCAGAACTAAGATTGGCCACATGAAAATCAGTGATGACATGCAGAGCTCCAAAGGGAAGGGATATCAACAGTGACAGGAAACAAATATTTAGGGGCTGGACACCTCCAGGTCTCTGTCCCCAACCCCACCACTGCTAATTCAGCAACTGCAATAACAGTTCTCCATTTCTGTGGAACCCAACAAAGTTCACTCTGTCTCTGGTGAATCCTCTCACCCCCTACACCTCTGGCCTGTACCCTAGTTCTTCTATGCATAAATAAATCTTCATTTTATTTTTTAAAGATATATTTATTTATCTATACAAGTACTGGGTACAGTCAAAAGCACGGGAGGGTGAGAGAATTCACCAGAGTCAGAGCGGAGAGCAGAGCAGGCAGACTGATGAAGTACACTGCTAAGGGGAGCAGTGGGTGGCAGGAGAGGTCTGTGCATCATGTGGGACCCTCACCCAGTGGCTGGGGATCCAACAGGCGCTGCAGAGGCTGTGGGCAGCTTCGCAACCCAGCCCTCAACCACTGTGCCACTGGGGAGGCCCAATAATAAATAAATCTTTAAAAAAATCAAATGAAATAAAATAAAACCAGAACAACACCTGTGGAAAAAGGAACATAGTTCACTTTATAATGTGCTGCCACAACTATACATTTTTAAATAGAAGGAAATTTAGGGTGGCTAAATAAGCAGACAAAAATACAATGCATGATACTATGCAACCTCAAGAAAATATGACATCACAAGGAAGAATAATTCACCAGAATCCAACCACAAAGACATGGGACACTATATCTCCTTATCAGATAAAAAATTCAAAATTGCTATAATAAAGAAAATCAGAGATTAAAAACAGAGAGGCAAGTCAAGCTGATATAAGTGAACTCAGAAAAGTGAATCATATAAATAGAATAAAATTCAGAGAAACAGATGTGCTCAGAAATAAAATTAATGAATGGAAGAGAGAAATTAATGTTTTACTGAAGAAAATAACAGTGATTTAAAGAACTCAATAAATGAAATTAAAAAATTCCAGGAAAGGTATGAAAGCAAACTAGAACAAATAAGGATTGAATCACTGACCTCAAATGTAATACACAATGATTCATGCAAAAGAAGAGAGAAAATACAATGTAAAAAAAAAAAATTGCAAGTAACTTATAAAGGTATTCCTATCAAGCTTTCATCCTATTTTTTGGCAGACATTCTCTAGGGAGGGAGAAAATGGAATGGTATATTCAAAATACTCAAAAGATAAATACTGCCACTCGGGAATAGTAGATTGATCTATCTATTTAGCTATAGATAGGAAGGCACTCTTTCAGATATGAACAAGAAATAAAGTCTTACAAATAAAAATCTGTAGAAGTTTTCCAGCACACTGGACTGCCTCTGCAAGAAATGTTGAACAGAGTTCTCCTATTTAAATTAAAAAAATCACATAAAATTTAACAAGGGAATAATTAGGTAGGACCAGAAAATGAAAGATTATTTAGTAGTAGCATGTACTTCTATATAAATATCACCCTAAATTTAAGGACTGAAATCACTAATCAAAAGGCTAAGTGACTGGTAGGATCAGAAACAAAACCAACTTACTGCTATCTCCAGAAAACTTATATGA